GAACATGAAATACAACCTTATTCTTAAACTTAATTAATTTCAAAGGTTCAATCTGCAGATTCAATGATGTACATATTATATGCAGTTGACTGATAGAAAGAAAATGGTTCATACAATTCTATTAACTGATATGAGAAGAACATTTCACATCTCTGATATAGAAGAATTAAATCTGCTTATATATTAATAAGCAAAGAGAATAATTTACAAGACCTTATCTGAAAGCATTCTGTATGTTATACAGAACTCAGAAGTGAAGAAAACCAAGATAAAAAATATATGAGATTATAAGTGTATGAAGAAGCTTCTGAAGAAGTATGAGAAGGTCTTTTAAACAGATCTTTCACTGAAATTACTGCTGAAACAAGAATTCATACATGAGATTGATACAGAGAATGCAAAATCAGTCAATCAGAATGTATACTCTCTGTCACAAATGCATCTTAAAAAACAGAAATATCAGATCACTGACCTTCTAGAATATAATCTCATATAACTCTTATTAAGTATGTGAGGCTTTCCAGTTCTATTCATGAAAAAGATAGATGAGAAGTGATGAATATATATTAATTATCACACACTTAATAAGCTTATAATTAAGAATGAATATTCACTGTTATATATTCAACAACAGTTGAATACAGTTGAAAATGCCTGATATCTATTAAAGATCAATCTTCTCTCAGAATACTGACAGATCTGTGTAGATAAACTGTCAGTTCTGTGAACTATATTTAATATACAATGAGAAAAGTTTGAATTTCTGATAATATTATTCAGTCTGATAAATATGCTTATCATCTTTCAAACAATGATGAATACAATTCTTTATAAACAGAATAAAACCTCATATCTCATATATCTCAATAACATTCTAGTCTTTTCAAACTCATATAATAAATATCTGAAGTATCTTGATAAAGTACTTACAACTCTGACAGAGTATAAGCTCTATACTAAATCAATTAAGTATGTGTTTGAAATGAAAGAGTTGAAGTTCATAGAATATGTAGTGAGTGATAACTATATACATCTCATTCTGAAGAAATTGAATGTTATAGTAAATTAACTGCAGCTAAGAAATGTATATTATATATAACAGTTTCTTAAGTTGATCTCATATTACTGCAGATTTATCAAGAATTTCATACAAATATCTGCATCACTCTCAGATCTCTTAAGAGAAATGAATACAAATCTGTGAAAGAAGAAGTTTTATTCAATTATCTGAAATACTGTGTGTGAAGAGACTTTTCTCACACTGAGAAAATGTGTAATAATATTCTCAGTGCTTATTCAATCAGATTATAATAAATCTTTCTACATTGAGACAGATGCATCTGAATGAGCTATTGAAGACACTCTTCTACAGATAAACAAGAACAGCAAGCTGTACTCAGTGATATATAATAATAGAAAACTATCAGATACTGAGCTCAACTACTCAGTGTATGAAAAGAAATTACTAGTGATTAAGCACATGCTGATGTTATAAAATAGATATATTAATAACAGACATATAACAACAGTAATCACAGATTATAAAAGTCTTATCTATCTATAATTAATAATAAAACCTTTCAAATACTTAGCATGTTGAATCTCAGAGTTTTAAGTATACAATCTTCATATCAAATACTGAAAAGAATCAGATATCATAATATCTAACACAATCAGTCACAGATCTGATTTCATAAGTGAGAGTTCTACAAATCAGGTATAAGAAATGTTTGTATTAAATATACTGAGAGAATGCAAGGAATCAGAATGAGTGAATGTCATAATCTCTCACTTGAAGAATGACAAGATATTGAATAACAAGTATCTTGTGAAAGTAGTAGAAGAGATACTTCTGAACTTCAAGCTGAGAAAATTGAAAAATGATATTATGTTTTACTGTGATCTAGAATACATAGAAGCTTTCTATCTAGAATCTTCATTTCAACATGACTTAATGACTCATATGCACAAGGAATTCAGTCACTTAGAAAGCTCTGAACTCATGAGTGTACTCAAATCAAGAGTATACTAGTCAAGTATGACTGAGAACATTCAGATGTACACTCACAAGTGCTTGAATTATCAGATTCTGAAAGAATCTAAGAAAGAGTTAGAATATGAGAAAGTATAATATCAGATAAAGTGTATAATATAATTATTCAAATAATGAGAAGTGAATCTTATAGATATATTGCTGTGAATGTCAAATGAAAATTGATGAATAATCACTGCTATTGATTACACTACTGACTGATCAGTTGCAAAAGCAGTTTCAGAGATAACAGAGAAGATAGTAGTGAAGTTTCTATATAATGAGATCTATGTCAACTATGAAATGCCGCGTGAGATTCTAACTGATAACAGTGCAAACCTTGTGAAAGAAGTGATGAGGCATTTCATGAGTCAGTTACAGACAAGACATTGTAGAACAACACTATATCATCTGCAGATGAACAGAAAGATGAAATACTTGAATGAAATCTTGAGCAACATGCTGATGAAATATCTAGTGAGTAAGTCTATGAGACTATGAGATGAATATCTCAGGCAGGTGCTATTGACTACATGAATTCAACAGCATGCAGTCTCTAAGCATTCATCATTCTACCTGTTGTATGAATTGCATCCGCGCATCCCGGAGAATGCTTCGGAAAAGATGAGAAAGGAAACAGCAGTTGCGGATGCAACAGTTGCAGATGCAGTAGGAACAGCAGTTACAGATGCAGTAGTAGCAGTTGTGAATGCAGCAGTCACAGATGCAGAACCAAGATTGAAAGAGATCAGCCATGCATGTGCAAAAGCTAATGAGTTACTTCTGAACTGAGCAATTCAATCAAAAAGAATACAAGACTCACTAGTTAAGAAATCAAGTCTCAAGATGAGAATATAAGTTCTTATATATAATAAGAGTTCTGAGAAGTTTCAATCTAGATGATTTAAGTCATATAAAATACTCAAATCACATTCTCTGAGAATGTATGTATTGAAAGAATCAGAGAAACAGATCTTATACAACTTAATCAATGATTTATAACTTATGAAAGTAAAGATATAAGATCTGAGTGAATTATAATCATTCACAGCACTATCATCAGTGTTGAAAAAGAAGAAGCTTATAATTAAAAAGTCTTATAAAGTAAGAGAAATCATAGACACTTATAAATCAGATAATCTCACTTATTCTGATCTTTTCACAATTATAAGAAAAGAATGAGAAGAAATGAAGAAATCAGATAAATATTATACTTTAATAAGTGATGAAACTGTAGTCAGTTATATAATAACACACTGCAGATAGTAGATATAATATGATAAAAAGTAGTCTCAAAGCAGCAGACTTGTATATAAGTCAGATTATAGAAGAAAAAGAAATTCAGAGTTAAATTCAACTATTTATATCAGTTCAATTACAGAGACTATAGAGGATAAACTATCTGAAATATTTATAAATATATGAGATTAAGTCATCTTAACCTCTGAAGACACTCAGAGATTGAGTAAGATTAGTTTCAATGAGCTGTTCACTGTAGTAATCTGAGCAGGCAAAGAGAGATAGTATAATATATAAGACAGAATTATAAAAGATGAAAACTGCTGAATCTAGTCATTAAACACTGTATTATATAGAGATTGTATAAGAGTAATGACTAGCAGATAAAGAAAAAGTATAAGAAAAGAAAAGAGATAATGAATTAATCATCAATTATAAGAGTTAACTGTAAAAGATAAATATTATTATACACATCTTATTCATTTTCATATATCACATGTTTAATCTATTTTCAATGTCATGTCATCTGAAAAATGTTAAAAATAAAGAAAATCTTAAAACTTGAGATCTGTAAGGAATTTGAGAGCTGCAAGCTACTCTTATAATAATGCTGTATATATCTTCAATTTCTCTACTACTCTATGTACAACATTAATATCATTTATCACAAGATTGACTGAAATGCCAATATAGAAATGCACATGTATATGTGTAGAGAAATTGAAGAAGAGTGCAGAATCTGCAGAATCAGAAGCCAGAGCAGAAAGAGCAGAGATGAAAGAAATAGAAGAAGAAGAAGATACAGAACTGAATAAATAACAGCAGAAGTTATCTGAGACTGAATACTTATAACTCAGTATACACACAACCTTCTCTGCAGAGAAGAGAGAGAAAGTGATAAGAGAAGCTTAAGAGTGAGAGAGAGTAGTCTCAGTGATATTATTATCTTTGATTAAAATGATCTCTGATACTGAAGTAACTAAGAACTATTATTAGCATATAAAACTGCAAAAGCAGAGATAACAATTATCAAATAAACATCTGCTGATCTTAGAATTGTATATGTAATTACAACACACACAGAGCTTCTCAGAAAGAGAGAGAGAAACACAGAGAAATGCAGAAAGCAGAACACAGCATGCAAACAGCTCATTCTCATGATAATATCTCAGACAAGGTGTATAAGTCTCACATCTACAGATGTAAAAGAGTACAACATCTGTGTTCCTGTTTCTGAAAACACAGATATCTTTTGCCTGCATCACAAAGTTGAATGATAGATATCAGAGAATAGACTGATACAGATCTATCATTCTGAAGAAATTTGTCAGAGCAGATATCTCTGTGATGTTGAACTTTACAGTTGTAAAAAGCTTCTTGATATCTATGAATGTCACAACTTCATACACAGCAAAACTTATAATGATTTTTCCTAAGAACAGGAAAATCAGCATCAGAAAGAAAAGATGAAAAATGAAAAGACTTACAATCTAGATACTGTTGAGAAGAGAGGTGATTCTCTGATATGAATGAACAATTGTCTCACCATGAATATTTAAAACAAACATAATAATTGGTGTCTGTGACCAAGCTTCAGATAGTCATGTCATACACAGTCTTTGTGCAATAAATCATTCTGGGAGTCGGTAAGAAGGGCGGGAGTGTACATGCTGGGAAACATGGTTCATTAAGCCTACACAACATCTCCTTGAAATGGGGAGAGCTGGTAATGAAAGCAGAGGCGGCAAAATCAGGGGTCGTGAGAACAGGGGTAGCGGGAGCGGGAGAACCAGACACAGGGGCAAGTGTAGGAGATTGGGGAGCGGCAGAGGAAGGGACAGAGGGGGGAGCAGCAGAGGAAGGAGCGGCAGAAGGGGCAAGGGGGGACGCGGGAGACCCGGCCACACATGACACAGGCAATTCCTCCATTATCGCGTCCTCCAAGTTCTCGACCAATGATTCAACATCGGGTTCACTATCATCAGCGGACGCGGATCTGTCAACGTGTGAAGATTCTACACAAATAAAAACAAACATATCAGCATCTGCGTCCACGCAAAATCGTGCCAGAAAACACAATCAGAAACCCGCTGAAGGAAACGGTCGGGGGCGTATGAGGAGGTGGAGAAGGTGTGTCATCCATGGTAATATGTTCTGGCGATCGTTAGAAGATAAACAAGTCCTGACCATGTTCCACAATGCATTACACTTACTGCTAACGAACTGCCCGGTATGGGCACTACGATGACGCTTGTTGTGGGAATGGGGGGCCATTGCCAGGAACGCGTATGATGTGATAGGTGGACAGATAGAAAGAGTTGAACAGGAGGAGGGGTAGGAATCTGGGATGGTGGTGGCGTTCGATGATGACGATGATGGAGATGATGGTTGGAGGATGGGAAAAGTTAGTGGATGAGTGGTGTAATATAGTGGAAGTTTCTTTGTGAGGGTGTACACGGGATGCTAGCCGAATCAGGGATAGGTCACATGATCATGAAACGCTAGTGGCGAGCTAATCCGCATGAAGCTAGGGCGTATGACATGGTCACGTGGGCATGACCGAATCTGGTGGGGGAGGATGTGGTTCGGAAGAATGTACAACCGTCGGATAATAACGCGGCCGCTTCCGAACTACTAGCGTACGAATGTAAAGGGGGCCATAGCGGCCACTAATTAATTTAGCGTACGAGATTCAATATATAAGAAGCCGGCGTACGCCTGTAATCGTACGCTGGCTTAAGCAACCTTTGAATCACATGTATACAGTAAACTCTTTTGAGAAAAAATATCAAGCTTTTATAAGAATTCTCTTTCAAAACTCATCATATTTAGAAGAGAAGAATATGTCATTTCATGAATATATTGATGAAAATAACTGGGAATGACCTGAGCTTACAGGTGATGAACTAGAGTCAGTAATATTCTCAAGTTCAATTAAAACTGCTGCATGACCTGATTCAATTAATCATTTAATTATTCAAAACACATATTTCTACTTGAAGAATGAATATTTTGAGCTCTTTTTCAATCTCTTAAGAAATGGTTATCATTCTGAATGCTGGAGAGAAGCTACTGAAGTAATCCTTGCAAAACCTAATAGAAAAGCTTCAGTTTCTAAGTTATATAGAGTAATATCTCTGTTGAACTGTTTGAGAGAAGTTCTAGAAAAGATAATAGCTACTAGATTATCTTTTATAAGCTCTATTAGTGATTGTCTTCTATTTAATGAATAAATGAGAGATAGAAAACAATGTTCTGCAATTGATACTGTTCTCTCAGTTCTTCATAATGTTCAAGTAGTAAAGCATGAAGGCCTGGTCTCAACTGCAGTTTTTATTGATATAAAAGATGCATTTAATCATGTTTCAAAGTCTAAGATGATTCAAACTTTGAAGATGTTAAAACTGTCACTTTCTCTAATAAAATGAGTTGATTGTTTCATGTCTAAAAGAATTATATAACTATTCTTTGATGGAAGAAAACTAGATAAAACTGAGATAAAAATAGAAGTATCACAAGAATCTTCAATCTCATCTGTTTTATTTGTAATATACACTGCATATTTATTCAAGAATAGAGAGATGAAAATAGTGAGATCTTCAAGTTATGTAGATGATATTGATCTTCTCTACAGTTCAAAGAAAATCAAAGAGAATTTAGAAGTGATTGAGAAAGCAGTAAAGAAAATCTTTATTAGAGCAGATATCAATCTAATTCAATTTGATATGAATAAAACTGAGTTAATTCACTTTTTTCTCAGATTTAATGAGAAAGAACTAAGTCTAACTCTTCTGAATAAAGAGATTAAACCCAGTTTGAATGTCAAATGACTAGAAGTATGGTTAAACTCCAAGTTGAATTTTAAATATCATATTCAACAAAGAATCATCAAGGCAGAGAGACTACTGAATAGTATAATCAGACTATCAAATACTGAGAGAGGTCTATCTTTTCAGGCTATGAGACAGTTATACATAGCCTGTATTATCTCAGTAGCTGATTATGAAGTTCAAGTTTGATGAAACAATCAAGATAACTTCACTAAACTGTTTCAAAGTCTATAAAACAGAGCTTTGAGAAGAATTCTGAGAGTATTCAAATCATCTTCTATTAAAGCAATGAAAATTGAAGCCTCAATTCCATCTTCTACTATTCAATTTGAAAAGGCCTGTATAAACTATGCTCTGAGAGTTATAAAGATGAGCTTAAATCATATAATCAGAGAAAGAGTCTCTTCTTTATTTTCATCAGTTAACTCA